CTTTCTTGGGGTCCTGTTAAAAGGATCTTTTAAGCACCTATGTGGTATATGGTTTGAAGTAACAAGAAATGGGGCCACTTGGCAAAGTTGTCGCCATGCTTACCATAACATTGCCTTGAGCTATGCAATAGCAGTGCTATTGAAGAGAAAGAAAAGAGAGCAGACTGGCAATGTTAGGTAACAGAGCAGTGTTCCCTAGTCATTTTCTCCAAATTAGAATATTGCCCCTCAGAAGGAAGGCTTTTTTTCTCATTAAAGATTGACTCTCTATGTTCCATGTGGTTCTTCATGACATTCTTACAGGGATGCAGGAGACACTTGAAGCAATAAAATTAATGCTATGAAGGATTTACTAATAAATGTGCTTAGGAAATATTAAGTTATATAAAATAGAATTTAACTAAAGGCATGCTGCCCCCAATATGACTGAAAAATAAATACTATTCTAGTCAGACTTGGAAGAAACTAAAAAAGGAAGTTTTGCACCATTATTGAAGTTTAGGGTTTCTGAAAAAGTTTCTGCTGATGTTTATTCACCAAGATTGACCTTCATTCTCATCTCATAACAAAGGAGACAACCCTGACATGCAAACAGTCATTGGGACCATCTTCATATCACTGAACATGCCCCTAATTGACAGCTTAAGAAGACAGTGTGGGGTCCCAATCCAGCAATGCATATCAAGTTGCAGCAAGACTAGGCACCTTCTTGCTTATTAAGGCTGGAAGAGGCAACCCAGCAAGAGGACAGGGTCCCAAAAGCAGGCAGAGTCAGAGATAGCCCTGCTCCTTCTGTCAGGAGTCCCACAAAAGATAAAGTCAAACAAGTGCAATGTATGTGAAGAGGGCCCAGGTCAGTTGACTCTGTGTTTTCTTCTGGTGTCCTTGGTCCCTCTGGCTCCAATAATCCACTCTGGACTCTGTGCTCTTTTCAAGAAAAGCACAAATGTGCCAAGTGGGCAGGATGAACCTGGGTTAAACACTATTAAAAGAAAACAACACTGAACAGCACTGGTGCACTTATATATAAATATATATATGTATATGTATATGTATATATATATCATATTCACATATATATGTGCATATGTATATGTGTGTTTACATATACCTGTATATATGTATGTGTGTGTGTGTGTGTGTATATATATATATATATATATATATATATATATATATATATATATATATATTACTCCAAGGGTCCTTTGAGTATATATTAAGTCTTTCAGTATTGTGTTTTCATGGGATTATTGAGTGTGTGGACAAGTGGGTCTCTGTGTGTTTGCTTCATTTTATCTTATTATACTTCATTTTAAATCAAACTGTTATTCATTAGATGCCTGTTTGCTTTCTAATGAGAATCAGAAGGAGGGTGAATAAAGATAGGAGGGGAGTTGGGGAGGAACTAAGAAGAGTAGAGGGAGGGGAAACCATGATCAGGATACATTATGATAAGAAAAAAAAATCTATTCTTAACAAAAAATGTTAAATATAGAAAAATAAAGAAGAGAGAAGAAGGGGAAAAGGAGTTCTGGTAACATCTTAACAGCTTGACTGTGTAAATCTCCCATTGGCCCAAGCGGCCAGATTTGCAGTCTCTTAGCTCTGGTGAAATTGTTCAGAGTGCAACCTGTGGCCAGGAACTGAAAGAAATTGAATGATGACAGCCCATGTGGAGTACATTTGCCTAAAGTGTATAAAAGCAGCAAAATGTTCTCTTCAAGGCTAGCTCCTATTGGATTACCACCAAAGTTGGACATGTGCTATTACTAAAGAACCTTTTCCTTTATCTGTAATTGTGCAGAGTGATTTCTCACTGGCAAGTTATATTATTTCTATATCATCAATATTCATAGATCATTTACACTTAGAATTCAGAAGTATAAAAACACAACGGACTGGAGAGATGGCTCAGCGGTTAAGAGCACTGGCTGTTCTTCCAGAGGTCTTGAGTTCAATTCCCAGCAACCACATGGTGGCCCACAACCATCTGTAATGAGATCTGGTGCCCTCTTCTGGCCTACAAGGATGCATACACGCAGACAATACACTGTATATATAATAAATAAATAAATAAATCTTTAAAAAAAAATAAAAATAAAAACACAATTGTGTTGACTACCCCAGGGAGGCCTTACCTTCTATGATGAGGGGGTGGGGGTGGAATGAGGGGGAAGTTGGAGAAGGGGAGGGAGGGAAAACTGGGGTTTGTAAAAGAAAATAATTGTTTTAAAATAAAAAATTATTTTAAAAAATCTCAGTGTAAATAAAGCAACAAAATTTTATTCAGAGATAGATAGTTGTCATTCCTGGATCTTCCTCAAAGTACATATTAGTGGGAGTAGGTAAATGGGCCCATTCAATAAAAATTATTGATCAAAATTTTTCCTTGACAACTTTCTTCTTGTGTCTCAAGCATATCCATTACACTTATCATCTACCTGTCTGTCTATTCACTTTCTTCTTCTCTATGAATCTCTTTCGCACATCCCTGACTCACTTGTTTTATTTTGTGAGTGGATGATTTTAACCAGGGCCATCTGTATGGACAGATGTTTTCACCTATCAATCAAAGTTTGCTATTCTGAGCATTGGTCATACAACTGAACCTAATAACTGCCCTTCTCTCTGCATCTGTTAATAGCCACTAGTTATACTTCAGCAGTAAAGGGAAGAGCACTGTGATCCCTTCCCCTGTTGTTGAGTTATGGTTGACAGGGCCAGTGTTCTTCTGACCCAGTGAAAATAACTGCAGTGCTGTGAGTTCAAGATTAGAGCCTTTTCCTTCTACTGGGTTGCCTCATTCAGCCTTGACACTAGGGTTTATGCCTAGGCTTATTGTAATTTGTTATGCCATGTTCAGTTCAGTTCCCTGGAAGGCCTGATATTTTTTTTTTAAAGTGAAATAGAGGACAAGTGGATCTGGGAGAGAAGGCAGGTAAAGGGGAGGCGGAATGGGAAGAGGAGAAGGAGGGAAAATTGTGGTCAGGATGTAATGTATAAGAGAAGAATAAAAGAAAAAAGAGATTGCAGTGACTCTACTGTGCTTAGAGGATGACACGTGAGCACCCTTACCCTGTCTTGCAACTATTATTCTTTCTGCTCCTCCTTACTCAAAGTCCTTGAGCCTTTGAGTGGATACTATAAATGCCTTGCTTAACTCTAAGACATCAACCATCAATTATTCTCTGCACATTGGACCACTGTGAGTCTCTGCCTCCACTGTCATCCTCTCTTTTGAAAGCTAAGACTTACTTTTGACATGGGGATATATTCATATATATGTATGTTGTTAGGACATCAATTTAGTTAAACAACAGTAGTAAGTCTACCCTTGGTCCTATGACTCCCCAGGTTGCCATTGGTTGAGATTGTAGTACCAGGCATAGATGCTCTCCAGTGAAGCTTAGGTCTAATATGTTGGTGAATGGTGACCTCCAAATAGTTGTGCTCATACTGGAAACTTGGGCACATCTCGCCTGTCCAGTTACATTTGTAGTTCTCAAGGTTCATATTTGGCTAAAGTTATTGATGTATTTTCTCCCCAAACTCCCTGAATCACAACTTCTAGCACTTTGACAAATAGTCAGCAGAGAGAAAGCTTACAGCTCATAAACTCTCCATCTCTAAATGGTGCAAGCTATCCACTGATCCTGTTTGTGGATAACCAACATATTTACAGCAAATAGTGACACACACTGTGTGTTCATTGGCCTTCCTGGCTTTTCATAAACAGAGGGATGATGTACTCTGCAGCACTGAATAAAAGCAGCATGATAAAGAAAAACAGTCAATTTTAAAACTTTGTTAGGATATTAGCTGCCTTGCAATTGCCTTTAATCTGTGCCTACTTTGTCTCATAGTTTTAAAAAATTACACGTCATTATTTGTCAAATATGAACAACTTCAGATTCTTTGTTTATGAAAGAAAATAAAGTCTAATGATGTTTCTGAATGTGGCACATTCTGATAATGTTGATTTTGTTGTGAAACGCTCTTATATTTCTTGGAATGAACACACTCACTTCACATGCAGGTAGGTTTATGCAGGATCTTTACAATAATGGAGCAAATCAAGCTTCCATCTCCCAGTAGTTCTTTCACATAATTTGTAATGATTGTAAATAAAATAAATAGTCATATTATCTAATGCTTTGACCTTAGGTACTGATAAGTCCTACACAACATTTTTTTTTCTGAATCTATTCAAGACCTGATTGCTTACTTGTAGCTCAATTGTACAGAAGGCATTTTGATATTTCAGATAGCTGATATTACATTATAGATGAATTTTAGAGATGATTCATATTCTAAATAACATTAAACTTGGCTACAATTTCCATATGTGGTGTATTTGTATTTATTTATGCAAACTTACCTTAAGTTGCAAAAAAATGAAAAAGCAGTAACATAAACCCTAAAAATTCTGTCATTTAAAAAAATGGTGCCAACAGTCTAATCCGTTCTAGACACAGCAACCTGAAAGTCATCTCAGGCAAAGAATGCACTTTGAAAGAAATACTACTTTTTAGATGTTCTTTTACTAGAACACACCATGTACAATACACTTTGATAGTCCAAATGTTGAACAAGTAAGTTTTTCACATCAACATTCCCATCAAAGTAAGACATGTGAGATGGACAGGGAAACTGAACAGAAGAAACACAGAAGTTTCTCGCTCTTGATGCTGGCAGGAGGTGGCTGTTATCTTCCTAAAGACATCTCAAACAATAGACTGTGCTTAGGTCCAGAATGCTTTGTGGAAAGTTAACTGTGGCTAACACTCCTTTTTCATGTCTAAATCTAAACACTACACCTTGTTAAACCACTTTGATATTTCCTTTACAAAAACAAATTCTTTAAGTTAAGAAAATGAGTAAATGAGCCCATCTTCCTCAATTTTTAAATTTTATTTTATTTATATACAGTCATTGTAAGGCATCTAAACATGACTGTACATGGAGAAGATCACATCCTTATTTTGAATGTGCACTATCATTTTTTATGTGTCTCTAACAAAATAACAAGAAATTTCTTAACTTAGCTTCATTCCAAGTTGTCCAGAATTATTTCTACCTGTAGCATCTGAAAAGCTTGGCTTTATTGAGTTGAGGTCTCTAAAGGAAAATCTTCCTGGCATTCTTGGTGGCAGTGCTGGAACTCAATTGATTATACCTGGACACAAAGGGTAAGCAAAATTCACTGAATAAACCCTCTGAACTCAGGAACTCCGGAATCACTGCCTTCTGTGGGTTTCTCTCACGCTTTCACCTGTACCCACAAATGGAATAATGAAAGCCGCACGCTACATTGTAGTAAATTTCAATTTCAAACTTTTAGTTAAAAGACATTCAGGGAATTGTCATTTATTTTATTTTCAAAAATATAATTTTCAGAAATTAATTGTTCAGTCTTTCAAAATTTTCTAATTAAAATTCTCCCTTTCGTTCAAGTAAAATCTTCCTTGAATCAAGGCATGTGACTTCATCTTGTCCTTGGATATCCTATTCACAACACCTGACTAAAATTCCTAAAGATGATCTGCTCATGTGTGTTCTGTGATCCTGTGGTGGTGGTGGTGGTGGTGGGGAACAAAAAATGAATGATAATTTTAAAGTATCCTTGAAAACATTTAAAACTTTATCCTTTTGCACTTCTAAGTAATGTAACAATAATGCAATTGCTACCAATGATAGATGCAAAGCGAAAATTTCTGTTGATTATAAGAACAGATTGGAAACGAATTTTGCATTTTAAAGAATGGTGAATGTCTGAGTCCATGACAAACATGGATTTTTAAGTTAGTCGCTTCCTGGGTACCTAGATTAGGGGACACTAAAAGGGCCTTAGAGACAAAGCATGAGGAAACATTTTGTAAATGTGAAATCAGCCATTCTAATTTAATAATTATAAATCCATGTGCCAGGAAGCTTGCATGCACACTCTACTCCTCAAATTAGCCGGGCTGCTCTTCACGCTCGCAGCATTCTCTTGCAACACTAAGAAGCAGAACATGTCTGGAGCTAACAGCGATTGTACCTTCCTGTGGGCAGAGGCACAAGATGAGACTAACTGCTGAAGACAGATCTAATGTTCTGGCACATTTCGAATAGCATAGTAGAATTGTGGCAAACAGGACATCATTAGGAGAACAAAAGGAAGCAGGTCCACACCAGAGAAGTTCCCCAATACTAGCCTCATTCAGGGGGCATTCCTAATAATACTTTAAAAAGGAAAACTGCTGGCTCTGGAGAGATAGCTTAACTTCTTGCTCTTGAAGAGGGCCGAAGTTGTATCCCTTCACCCACATAGATCAGGCAGTTTACAAATGGCAGTAATTTCAGCTCCAGAAGATAAAATACCTCTGGCCACTGTGTGTACCTACATTCCCTATATACAGGATATGCAATCACCTATGGACGTACCTATGACATAAAAAAATGGAATCAATAGTTTGTAACATGCATTTAAAAAATAAAGGAAAAAAAAAAAACAAGCAAACAGCAGCTCATTCCTGGGCAAAGCAGTCGCTGAGTGTGCTCGTCATTTTAACTTTCTGCTACAAAAGAGCTACTTACTGCCCTGTGAATACAGGCAAAACTGGGAGCTGAACATCAGCCAATCAAGGCTGTCCTCATCTCCACTACCAAAAATGTTTGGTGAGGTCAAAAACCAAAATGATGGGAACTCTAAATAAAACCTGTCAACCCCCAACGTAGGTGTGTGAGTCTTCTGCTACTGCCCTTGAAGCAAATCCAATGAACTTGTCATTTTCTGCCATGATCTGACAGTTGAGTTCCTTGACTGTTCATGGTTGTGACACTCCACAGAACTGGTGCCAATCATTATCCCCGCTGCTTCCTCAGAACTCCGTTAGCTATGGCCACACTCTGAGATGTGTCCTAAGAAGTCAATATCTGATTTAACACAAATTTGAGGGAATGTTCTACAGGCTAGAAAGCTGTGTCTTATCAATCACCGCTTTAGGAAAGGGTGCTCTTGAAGAATGTCAGCAAGAGCCACACCAGTATAAGCCCTGACATTAAAGTGTTAGACATGTTATCTCTGAAAGAATATTTCCCTGTGGAAAAATTAGATAGAAACTTAATAAATGTCCTTCATGGTTGGAAAATGGTCATTCAGATTTCAGGAAAGGTGAGTTAAGTTAGCCCTGATAGGCACAATAATTCTGAAGAATAGTGCTCATTATTTTGGAAATGTGCATTTTATCAATGTAGAATAATGAGGAATCCTGGCTTGTATAATAGGATGTAATTTTGCATAGGAGGAGTTGACAGTTGTTCTTGCCAAGTGATTCAGTATGATTCTTGCTAAAACTAAGATAGTAGGCAAAGTAGAAATTTGTGTTAAATCATTGTTGTGTAGTACAGAGAAGGAAGCTAGAAGTGATTTGGATCAAGGAAAGAAGTCTTGCTGGTCAGTAACACAGAATGATTAACTTTGTAATATTAGAATTTCACATCCAAACTTTGTTCAGATTGTGGTGGATAAATTTCCCTGGAGAATATAGAATGCTGAATCAGATATTATGCAAAGTAATATGTAAATGGATGAGATTTTATTATTCTAAAGAAGGGATCTCCAAAGTAAAAAGACAGACTTCTACATCTTGCCTTTCAAAGCTTTATTAAATGTAAGATTAACTAGGCTAAGAAAAAAAAATACTTAAATAATTGCAGAGGTACCATAAGTTTTTAGAATGACTATGTAGAAAATAGAGTTAAATGGCAAAGACTAAAAAAAAAAATTAAAAAGAATCCTGCCTTGTAGAAAAGAATGTAATTTTGGATGGAGAAGTTGACAGTTGTATTTCAAACTTTATCTATGCAATCAACTTGTACTAAGATTTCCTTAACATATGAAAGCACCAATTCCACAGAGGTCCCCTTCCATAGTCAGACTCAGCATGTATCTTTTCAAAGGTAAAATGTTCTTAGTTGTCGTTAATAATAGTGAATATCTGTGACCAGGGTGAGTGCTTTTTTTTGTTTGCTCTGTAACAGTTTTTCACTTGCAACTAGTAAAATTGAATCTCCTTTCCCCCCCAACTATTCATTACATAATTAGAGTCCTATTTTGGTAATTATATGTTTAATGAGCAAATTAGCCCCAATCCACCATATTCCTGAGAACCAATCAATTTAGTTAATTTGTTTACAGCAAAGGTCTTACACACATGCACACATACACACATATAAAAAAAACAAAACAAAGAAAAAGAGGCCATGGATTTGAGAAGAAGCTTACTGATAGACACAAAGACTTGAGGAGAGGAATGTGAAGAGGGGGAATGCTGTAATTATACTTTGTTTGTAAAATCTTGTAACAACTTATATGAAAAATAGGTTTCAAGTTGAAAGTTCAGAGACTGGTTCCAAAGTTGCTGTATTTCAGATTTGATAAACATGTGGGTAAATAAGCATTAATTATTTTTTATATGAATTATATTCAAAGTCATGAAACTATTTTTTCCAGAGTGTAACTACGAAGAAAAGTTTGAGGCTAACAGACACTTAGAAATTCTATCAGCAGAGTGGGAAGTAGAAAATAATGAGGATTAAAAGACTGGCTTCTAACAGAAGGAAAACAATGCTGTGCTGATGCCATGTGTACCTAATGCTATGGTCTTACACACAGCACTCAGTTAAATGCTTAGGAAAAATTATAGACAATGAGCCGTAAGTTCAGCCATTTGGTTTATCAAGATAGATGCCATTTGTAGCTCTGATAATTATAATGCAAATGGAATTTTAGAAGGAGAAACAGACAGCAAAATGGTGAGAATTAGAGGAAAAAAGCAAAGATTCAGACAGGAAAATAAAGGACTGAAAACACTTAAATAAATCATTATTATAAGAAGCATCTCTGTAATGAGGAACAGATGCCCAAAGAGAGTAACTAGTATTATTAAAGTCTCAAGTGCAGTCCCTTTACTTGAACAGTGGCATGTTCTGTTTTTCTGAAGAGTGTGAACAAGAAAAATACTAATCATCTATGTGTGGCTTCTCTTAATTAATTTGAATGCCATACAAAAAGGAAAGGCACACAATCTCTGCTAATAGCACACACTGAAGAATTAACATTGTGAATATGCAAGGAGGCTGGAAACCGGAGCAACCACCAAGGACAACTCCTAAAGAAATGGACACTGCTGCAGAAGCAGATGACATGTCACATACCTGTGAATGTGTTCAGTTTCCAGTTACAGAGCCTATATACAAGAGAAAAAAATGGAAAGAAAAATGATACTCTTGGCAAATTTGGAAAAATAAATAGTTGTAGTGCTGTAGCATAGAGGTATACAGTGGTTGCTTTAAATTGTTCCATTTTATTGCAATGAAAAGGCAAAGAAAAATGTACATATGGACAAATAACAAGACAAGGAAGGAAAAGACAAAGAAAAATATAGACGCTAATGTTGTAAGTGCTAACACTACACACTACTTGAGGTCAAGTGCTGAATTTGAAATAAGATTTGTTAACACACAAATTTCAAATATTCTCTCTCACTTATGATCCTAGCTCTAAATCTTCAGATATGCATACATATTTTTTTAAAGGAGTGACCACAGAAATCAGGAAAGTATAAAGAGAACAAGGGTTTCAGGGATTGAGATGGGCATATAAGGATGTAAGTGATATAAAGGTAGAAAATAAACAAATGGGGAAGGAAAACCATCTGTGGAGAAGGGAGGGAGGTTAATGAAGAGGGAAAAGAGGGAGGAGAGGCAAATAACACCAAGATTTTTTAATAAAGCCTCAAGGGCCCTTATCACATTTATACTTACCTAAACTTATATGAGATATATACAATTTATTAAAGGAAGTTGTGTCATTTGGTCTGACAATACTTCCCACAAATACCATAGCCTTAAAAAAAATTCAGTACCAGCCATGAGAAATATCTCTTCTAATGGTTGGTCTGTGTAGTCTATGCAACTATCAAAGCAATTGCTTTTGCTCTTGGCTGCCTCTCAGAAGTTGAAGGTAAACCACTATTACTGACAACATCTCACACTTTGACACAGGACTCAGGTTATTTAAGCTGTATTTAAATAGAAAGCCACCTTCTTGTTGTCTAGCTCACATGGTACCAAAAATACTATGCAACTGGCCAAAAGAAGGAAAGAATTAATAGTCCTATCAACCAGTGACACTTACAACCCACAATAATGACCAGCATTGCAAGGTATCTATAGAGAAGCATTAAGAAGCATTTTAGGTTGGTGGTAACCAACATCTGCCTAACT